CCAGATGGTTCACTAACGACGCCACTACGATTATCTTACTGTTGGCTTCAATGAGCTACACGCCCGTCAGATACAGCTACTTCATCATCCCAGGCACCGCGCTCATACTCATTGCCTCGCTGGCCTACCTGAAATTCAGCCCCCTGAAAGACTACAGCGCGCCGACGCCTACTGAGGACCGAGCGCCAGCTTACTTTGTAGGCACATCAAAGGTAAGTGTTTTAATACAGAGTCACATAGTATTGACAAGTTTGCTTACATTGTACTAGAAGCTGAAATTCAGCCTCCTGACGTTGGCCAGCGTCATCGGGGCTGGCATCGTACCCTTCGCAACCATCGCCGAGCCCCCGCACACGCCCGAGTATCGACTTGTCATGAGGGACGACACCGATGGCCACTGCTTGACACCGCCGGCTGATATAATTCGGCCTTTCACGGACAAGAAGGAACCTTTCCAAATTCAAGCTGGCGAAGGCAACCTTACCGCCTCGCCTTTTAGCAACACTCTGGCCATGGTTCGCTGGAACGCGAAGCGCATGGAGCGTGTGCCTCTGATCATGAAGTACAAGCCATTCTTCCACACTGTCCACATTTCCATGCCGGAAGTCATGGAGGACAAGCCGAAGACCTACCACAACCTCACGCATTCGCAATACGACCGTCACGAGACGATTTATATGCAAGTGGCGCATACGATGAAGCTTATCTTGGACGAGCAGCCAGACATCGAGGGGTTGATGTACTTCCATTTCGACTCTTGGATCGATCCCATGGGCTGGGTTGACGAAAACCGCCAGTCCATCTGGTACCCGACTTCGCATAACACGCGCCAGTTTGAGGGTGATGGACCCAGGTACATGTGTATGAACGACTGGCAGAAGTTTCCTCAATGGTGGGGATGGTACCACAAGTGGAACGAGAAGGCCGTCACCGTCAACGGCGAGATTATTCGAATGAACCGCGGATACGACGTCGTTGAGGATGAGTTCTGCGTAGGCTGGTCGGATATTTACTACATCCCCCGCCGCTTCTTCGCCGACTTCATCTTCCTTTCTTACGTTTACGGTTGCGCGGACCTGTTCCACGAGGTTGCGATCCCGACCATGTTGAACATTATCGACCGCAGCCGACGCAGCGAGAGCGCGCCATTCCAGTCGCTCATTGACCGTATCGGGGACTGCTGGGGAGGATGCTGTGACGACTCGGCGACACCACATGATGTGAAGTGGACACGCTGTGGACACCGATTGGATTATTTGAAGCAAGAGGTTGTAGATGCGCACTACGGCCGCTTGGATGAGCAGACTGCATGGCTTGGTCAAAATCAACGGACGACCAAAAGCGAACGGCGTTAAACTTCGGGGTAAGGGGCATTAGACATAGCGATAACCGATTCATTTCAATTCTTTTCACATAGCACAAATTAAGTTGGCTTTACTTCACTAACAGAATTTCCTCGGAGTTTGAATTCACGTGAAAGTGATTCATCCTAATCATACTCAACGTATGGCGACTTCAAAGCTGTCAATGCCAGCATCGCGCAACAGCCCCACGCCGAAGACCGGATGGATACTGCTCTCCGTCACCAACAGTGGAGCAGCTGTGTTAAGCAACAACCGCGACCATCAACAATCGATCCACCTTCGGGTATGTGGCGCAATGGCTAGCGTGCGGTCTTCCGGTATCTCATTACCAAGTTGGCCGTGGTTGCAGGTTCGAGTCCTGTCATACTCGGATCACGTTTATTTTGTCTTTTTGTGTGTAGCTATGGCACATGTTCATATAGAAGCGTCGTTTAACGGACAACAACCTCCGTGATCAATCTAGGTCACGTTGATCTATGTCGATCGCTTTGAACGTGGCAGTAACAGCATAAGCAGAAGAAAAACCAAAGTTCCATGTCATACCTGCTGACATGCCCATGCGTATGATGGCGGAGAGCAGCATTAAACGGCCTGAGTACTTGGGTTACGAATAACCTAAGTAGGCGCAGTTGAGCTTACTCTTGGCGAATCTTTGCCGAACCAATCTAAACAACCCAAGGCCACGTCGTCTTGCAGCGTGGGGATATTGCATAAGGTCGGTTCAGCCTTCGCGTTCACTTGGTGCGGCATTAAACTTGTTCCTGATTCCTCTTCACGGCACACTCGTTTCCCTCCCTTCCGCATACTGACATGTCACATCCCCAGCTTCACTCCACGTGTGACGACTGCGACAGTCTCCTTCAACATGCAGCCATCATTCTTTCATCGTCCAGTCAGAGAGAATTATCGACTGAATATGATGACAGATATCAGTCACGTCTTCTAGCCAATGTGAATTACCAGAGCTGCCATATGTGCGTGCTACTACATGCAGATATACCTCACCTTGCTGCACCGCTGTCGGCCGGCAAGCGCCTGATATTCGGAGCCTCCAGAACCCAGCATGACTCCTTAGCAGTCAGTATTGGACTCAAAGAGATTGATGATGCGGACCCAGGGTTTCAAAAGTACTTCACAGGCTCCTTGCGGGTCCAGGGCGGTTAGTTGTGGTCCAAAGGTAGAATGCAAAAAGCTGACATGTGTACAGCTGGACATGGAACCATCCGAATTCTTCGCTCGTCTCAGACATGGTCTCTAGAAACACTCAATCGGCTGCGATCGTGGCTTCAAGATTGCCTCTCGTCTCATAGAAAGTGCGCCAGCCCCAAAGGATCAGGCAGGCTTCCTTCACGATTAGTAGACGTTGGGCCGATTGCGGCGGTGACTAGCTACCCAACGGGGGAGATTAACCAGTCGGATTTCGATCAGCTCAGTATCGACAACTCTCATGGAATTTGCGTTGTCTCAGCACAGGCATTGCCACTAGACACCGAGTACCTCACTCTCAGCCATAGATGGGGAAGTCCTCCAAGCATGCTGCTCACCGAGAAAACATACTCTCTGCTCACAGAAGACTTCTCTGTTTATCTTCTGAGTTGCGAGGAAGCCGCCGTTTTTAGACATGCAATACACGTTACTAGAGCTTTGGGGTTCCGCTATATCTGGATAGACGCGCTTTGCATCGTGCAAGACGATGAACTCGAGAGGACGGCTGAGATTTTGCAGATGGACAATATTTATTCCAACTCAACCCTCAACATCTCGGCCACAGAAGGGGACGTCTATCAAGGCTTAACATTTGATCGTGCCACCCTACGAACGAACCCTTGTATTGCGACTGCCAATACTTTATCAACGGAGGAAAACATGCTGCTGCTAGTATTCCGCGAGAAACGGTTGCTTCGTCCGTGGGAGGGGCCGCTAAATCGACGGGGCTGGGTGTTTCAAGAAAGAACACTAGCACCACGTATCGTTCATTTCACCAAAGAACAGGTCTTCTGGGAGTGCTGGTCGCTCGAAGCATCAGAGACCTTGCCTGCGGGGCTACCGAATCTCCAGGTCGAAGGTTTCGACAAGGCTATAGGAATCAAACCAGGAACATACGAGGTAGCGCAGATGAAATCGCGATGGTATCATCTTGTAATGATGTACTCTCGTACTTCTCTGACTTTCGCTCATGATTATCTCCTTGCAATATCGGCGGTGGCCAAGAGATTCTGCTCAGCAATGGACATACCTTCGTCGCAATATCTGGCCGGGATATGGGGTGATGACCTTCCTCTGTCACTAATCTGGACTCAAGAATCAATTTCTATGAGCGGTTCTGAAGCAGATGAGACTGATCTTGAGCGAAGGCACGCGCCTTCATGGTCTTGGGCATCTATCATGGCACCCATTGCAACTCCTGACCTTTCCATACTTTCATCGACTACCAAAGTCATCAGTATCGAAACAAAACGCAGATCACCAAATCCGTTTGACAGCACCGACTTTTGTTGCCTTCGTATTCGCGGACCGGTCTGCAGGGTTCGCCGATTCATACACCAAGACACTCACTGGATCCAAGTGACACGCCACGTCGTGTTTGAGGAATTTGTCGACTCCTACTTTCACAGCGGCAAATCCATAGTCATGTGCTGGGACACCGCTCGAAAGTTCAGATCAGATGAATTCCTTTTGCTGCATCTTGTTACAGGGAAGAACGTGGAAAGACCTACGGAACGAGGTCTGATCTTGCTGAGAACAGCTGAACGGGGAAAGTACAAAAGGGTAGGAGTTTTCATCATCCCATTCGAGAGCCATTATCCAGGCTCAAAACTACAAGATGCGTTCGAGGGACGTCTTCAAACTCTCAGTCCGCAACATTACATTGAGGTTGACAGCGAGGGGCAATATACCATCGATATCATTTGACATTGTCGCTGTACAATCGAAAGTTCGGAGACTCCATCTTAACTATGGCAACTTTTCCGAGTGACAGGTGCATAGGTGACACATGAAACATGAGGTTTATGCTTAACCCGGTCAATAGCAGCTGCACAATGACACATACTCGTGAGACAACTCACATAAGCGAGGACATTTCAGTGAGTTGCACGGGCCTTGCAATGGTCATTACAAACAAGTCTAGTGTACCAATCCTGTTCTCCTGCGTGCGCTGCCATTTTGTGATATTAAATTGCTTCAATAAGACTGCACCTTCCGAGACGTGTCTCATCAAATAATGAGTCAGTCTATTGAACCTCCCATTCTAAGAACCTAGGTCCTGAAGCTTTATTGCGGAGCTTGCTACTCTGGCGACAAGTCGTGACGTACGTGTACCTAGTCGGACTGGACTTCAACCCGATCAAACCAAGTCAACACGGTCGACATGGATACGAAACCCAGAATTGGAACTGAGGTGCATCAGAAACTGTCAAAACGCCATCCGATGATAGGTTCGCAAGTTTTATCGTGCCCGTCATCTTGGTTGACAGCGGAGCTTGACTTCAGCTTCGCCATTTAAGAGGTTGCCGGCTCCCACCCGAAGCCTAAGACAAGCAACCTTAATCTAAGCTACCTTACATCAACCTTAAAGCCACCTTTTTCAGAATTGTTATCTGGTATAACACGTTCCATACACAACCTTTCGTCAATATGCAGTTCTCCTCTGTCGCCACTTTTCTCGTTGCCGTCATGGTCAGCCAGACTCTTGCCTGTAAGGAGCTGCCAACAGTTGCGGACACTTGAGTTTTAAGCAAAATCACTGATGAAATCGTGATGCAGCACCTGCTAGAGGAAATGGGGGCAACACCCAGGCGAGCGGCAAGCAAGGTCAGCCATGCACTGGGAGCGTTGCGAATCTCCAGCAGAAGGGAACTTGCAATGCGAATGGGAAGTGTGCCATAGAGATCCCGCCCAATGAGCTGGACATTGTGGCTAGCGCTGATTGCGAGTAAAAGGGCTTGTGCGGAAACTACGGGTTGTAGGTAGTGGAGGTGTTGCTAGATCCAGGTCAAAAAAAAAAAAAGGAAGGGCCTTTAGTTTCATATGTCTGCATTCACATCGTGGAGCTGTGAGTTGGTTCAGGCCCAGTGCAAGTGCCCGATCCAAAAACATACTGTCACACTGAATCAAAGGGCGGCCAAAATTCAAAAAGAGAGGTTCTCCCCTTCCAGAATCGAACTAGAGACCTTTCGATGGATGTGGATATACCATTACAGTCGAACGTGATGAACCAACTACACCAAGGGGAGTAACGGGGCTGAGCCCCGCTCGGTGTGATTTGTCGACGAGAGCTGACTCCGTCCCGCTTAACAAGCAATGGAGACGCAATCAAACGTGCTCCGCTTCTTTTTGTTTCCCGCCCCTGAACTTCTGAACAATGCCCGACAGTACTTTAGCCACGGTAGACACCCCAAAGGTCCACCTGTGAATTCTAACCGTGTACACGAAGAAGTAAACCAAAGCCCAATTGGCCACTGCGAATGCAATCAAGATGCCGAATGAGGGCCACTTGTCGGTCAGGAAGACGTTGAGTGTTCTCATATACTCTCCACCGTTGTTGTAGGGGCAGTAGCCGCAGTTGGAAGTCGCATTGGGGTTCTCGAGGTATCCGGTGCCAGCAACTTGCGTCACAAAGTTGTTCGCATACTCGCCACAGGTTGACCCAGGCGGCGGGTTGAAGCGTGCGAATTCCGCAGAGGCGCACTGAACGGCGGCCGGGGGAAGTACGGCGGAGAGAACACCGCGAGTGAACCAAGTCGTCGGGTTCTAGATGACTGGTCAGAATTCGGCTTACTCGTGGAATTGAACTGGAGAGACTTACGATGTAGTACATCCAGTACCGCCAAAACTCCGGAATGGAGTCGTATGGTACTAGGATACCGTTGAAGAGGGCAACCATCACGAAAAAGAAGGGCAGAATCTGGTGCATTGTTAGTCAAACGCGCCGTCGCTAGCTGGAGGAGAAACTCACGTTAGACACCGTTGAGTATGATGGCCCGAAAGCCGAGATCCATTGTCCCCAGCTTGACTGGAACAGCGACCAGACGAGGACCATGAGATAGGTGTAACCCGAAATGGAAGCAGTTGCTGGGAAGCCAACTGGGAAGTACCACAGAAGCCAGTAGATCGTACCGGAGGTAATTGCCATAGGAATCTCGCAGACAACGTTCGCTGTGCAGAATGCGACCCAGCCATATGTGCGACTCGGCAACTCGCGGTCTTCCCAGAGGTCTCTGTTCTGGAAGAATTTCAGGACGACCGAGTTCACAACTGTTGGGGGCACAAAGAAGATGAGAATGATGGCTGAAAACATGCGGTTCTGCATGCTGGCGATATCATTACCCAGCATCCAGAAAGTCTACACGTCAGTTAGCATTTGGTAGCGGTGCTCAAATCGATCAAGACGACTCACGAATCCGTTGAAGATGCCCATGACGGTATGCACGAAGACTCTGCTGTACATGTACTGAGGCTCTCTCCAATGTTGGACGAACATGCGCTTGGTAAGAAGGAGGCATTGATACATTGTGGATGAAGCGAATTCGGTCGGCGCCGAGGATGTCGTCGAAGGGCCTTGTCTTGCAGACGTGATTTCGTCAATTTCCGTTACAATGGCCTTATGCTCGCTCGAGTTGAGCCATTCCTCGTTCCAGTCAACGCGCTTGCCATCTTTTACCGATGGTCTCGAGGCCGTTTCCAGAATGAACTCCGCGACGTTTCTGCTGGGAGGGCAAGGGAAGCCTCGTTGCGCGAAGTAGTCGACCACGACAGAGCCGTTGGTGCCGACCGGTCCGAAATAGAAGGTGTTGCCGCCGCGGTTGAGAGCAAGAATCATGTCAAACTGCTCAATGAGGTCCGAGGATGGCTGATGGATGGTGCAGATAATCGCTTGCCCGGCATCGCAAAGCTTTCGCAGGAATCGGACGATAGAGTAGGCGGACTGACTGTCCAAGCCACTGGTTGGCTCATCCAAGAACAGAAGGAGACTGGGCTTGGCAGCAAGCTCAACTCCAATCGTCACTCTCTTCCTCTGTTCCACGGTTAACGAAGATATCAGCGCGTCTTCCAACTCGCTCAACTCGAGAAGGTGGATGATGCGATCCACGTAGGCAATCTTCTCAGCTCGCGGGATGGTACGTTCTTGTCGGAGGAGAGCTGAGAACTCCAGTGCCTCTCGAATGGTTGCCGTGCCCTCGTGAATATCTCTTTGCTCGCAGAAACCCGTGCCTCGCTGGAACTCGGCTCCGAGAGGCGAGCCGTTGATCAGCATCTCGCCAGAAACAACACCGACTTTCTGTCTTTGTGCAATCGTGTTGAGAAGAGTCGTCTTGCCAGCACCAGAACTTCCCATGAGCGCAATCATCTTTCCCGGACGGGCGTATCCGCAAACACCATTGAGAAGCTGGAGCTCACCATTGCCGTAGGGGACTGTGTAGTTGATGTTCTTGAAAGTGAAGACGCTCTTTCCGTCACCAATCGGCTCAAAGGTCTCCTCCGCCATGTTGCTCTTCTTCTTCTTCTCCTCCTTCGACTTGGTGTCTGGCCGTTTTGCGAAGATGAGTGACTGCGCACCGGAGCCCTTGAATCTGATCGTATCTACGGCAACGACTGTAATCGCAAGATAGAAGACGGTGAAAGCCAGCATAATGCCGAAGTTGCGCCAGAGGTTGGACCTCGAACTGGTAGTGGTCAGTGAGCTGAACGTCATTCGACTCTGGGTAGAGAGGGTGAGACTAACTATTCGAATGAGGCTTGCATGTATGCCGGACCACTGACAACAGTGCTACCAAGAGTTGAGCCGGGAAGACTGCATCCTTGATAGTTGGGATCTGAGCCAGGTCCTCGAGGGACAAGCTGAGACTCGCTGCACTGCAGCTCTCGGCCGAAGAACTCGTTGGTCTGGAGTGCTTCAAACCCGTAGGCTACCGGATTGATGTAGTAGATCCAGCCAAACCAAATGGCATCATTAAGAAGAGCCGGTTTCGGAATCACGTAGCCAGTAAAGATGAACATGATGTTGAGAACTGAAAGTGCGGTTAGCATCGATCTTTGGGAACGGGAATGACATTGTGTACATACCAACTCCGACAAATCGGACGGCATCATCGACCGTAGATGATAGGGATGCAAACATGCGGTACATTGTCGTGAGACAGAAAGTCGCTGTGTACACCAGCAACGTGTAAATCCAAAACTTGGCCGCATCGACGTCGAATTGGGCGAGGAAGTAAACAGGGATACTGAAGAGTAGTGTCATGATCAAGATGAGAGGGAAGTCGAGAAGCATCCTTGCGATGACGACGGCTGATGGTCGGTAGAAGGCGAAGACTCGCTGTCGCTCAATTGTGGTACGTCCTGAGACCGCGGGCAGGAGTTCAGCGAACTGGAGCCATCCGATGAAGGCAATTGAGAAGAAGGCGACGCCGCCGCGAGCAAAGACCGACGAGGTGTCTTGTCCGGCGCCGTAGAACAAAGATGATACGATGAGAGCGTTGGCAATTATGATGACAAGTTTGGTGTAGAAGGAGTTTCGGTCGCCCCAGAGCAGCCAGGCTTGTCGCTTCGTGCATGCAGCCACTTGCTTCAAGAACGATACAGTGTAAACCGAGTCCCCGATAACAGTCTTGCTCTTGGCTGTGTCTTGTGTCAGTCATCCATGCATGATCCAATTTGAAAATAGCAATCTCACCTTCTTTGACCGTTTCCTCGAAGATGCGATGTTTCTCGCTGTTCGTAGACTTGCTGTCCCGCTCGTAATCGTCAACGTCTTGAAGTAGTCGTTGGTAGTGTTCGCTCTGTCTAAAAGCTTGTTCAAGCTCTTCGGGTGTCTTTGGGGCTGATTCCTCGCGTCCGGACTGGAAATGACGGGCGTTCTTGTCGGCGATGGAGGTCAAGAAGTCTGCCGTGGTCCTGTTGAGGTACAAGAGTTAGCTCCTGAATCTCAGCAGTCTTTATGGGTTAGACTGACTGTCTTGGGGGACACAAGTATCCCAAGTCCTCAAAATACTTCTTCGCCTCGTTGGCTGGGCCTTGAAATAGCATACGTCCGTCGTCTATCACGAGTACCTTGTCCATCAATTCATAGATAGACTCGCCTGCCTGGTAGAGTGTGACTAGTGTCGTGCGGCCACTGACATCTGTGTAGACTCGGAGTGACTTGGCGAAGCTGAGAGCTGTGCTGGCGTCAAGGCCACGGGTGGAGTTATCCCAGCAGACGACCGAAGCTCTTGTGGCCAGAGTTTCTGCCAGACTTACACGCTTGCGTTCTCCTCCAGAAACACCTAGAGGTCGTCAGCAACGCCTCTAGCTGCGGTGCATCAACAGGGACTCACCTCGAATATGCTCGTCGCCAACAAGCGTGTTCTTGGTGTGATCAATGCCAAACATTTGGAGAAGTGAGTCGAGAATGATGGGGATAGTCCACTGTTCCCTCTTCCTGGTCTTGTTCTTCAGCGCGAACCACAATGTCTGCCATACTGTGAGAGAGGGGAAGTGCCGGTCATCTTCCTCACAATAGACCACCTCTCCTCTGAAAAGTCGCAGCTGATCCTCAGCCGGGATCGCGCCATAGTACACCTCTCCGTCGACCTCGGCGTACTCGTCTCGATGATTGGCGATGGCCTTGAGAAAGGTCGAACATCCAGAACCCGGCCGACCCAGAACCAGCATGATCTCGCCGTGTCTCACTGTCCCAGTCATGTTCCGAATGAGGTCGACGGCGGGCTCTTTGTGAAATTTGAGTTTCGGGAAGAAGCCGGTGATGAAGTGATAGAAGTCGGGACCAAACGTATTGAGAAGATCCCGAGGGAACGTGACGGCCTGCTTTGTTGATGACTCGATTCCCTTTACCGTCAAGTCCTTGAACGAAACCCCGAGCTTCTTCGTTGGCCCTCCTGTTGGCGTGCGCATGTCCATGATCCCCCGCCTGAGAAAGTCCGGGAGGTCGAACGAGTTCTCGCCGGACTCGGTTGGCGCGATAGTCGAGTCGCTCTCACCTCCTGCATCGCGTTCGTGGGTTTTGGGTTGTGAATGGTGTGCGGCCGTGGAGTGACGATGTTGTAATGTCGAAAGCTCCTTCTCCAGGTCGTGGAATTCATCGAGCGCGGCGTTAATGGAGATCTCTCCGGCCGCATTCTCACCCCATCGGCCGTCTTCCTCGGGCCTCAATGGACCAGTCATGATGCCAAAAGTCTATGGTAGGATAACAAAACAAGGAAGGGTATCTAGCGCAAAGAAGTGTATCAATTTTGTCTATGGGGTAGTTGAAAGAGAAGCTGCGACAGTTGAGTGAACTCGATAGCTGTCGATGAATTATGGTTGGGCCAAAGCAACTGGTCCAAGAGACGAGAAAGTATGAAAACGACATGCAACAACTGATGACGAGGAGAGCAGTGTGTTAAGTCAAGTAAGTCTATGAGACCAAGGTTTGCTCCACTCTCGCACTAACACGGGATGGCGCCGTTGCCATTAGGGTACCCGTGGCCGGCATACGCTCCACGGCAGTATCATTTGTCATCTCCACCGGAGTGTTTTGGGGGAATTCATATTCCCCGTAAGTCAAGAGTTTGTCGGATTTACTGGAAAGGGGATGGCATCAGTTGTGCCCTCGTGTCGGGCAGCAGTTGTTTGTGCATGGCGGTGGGGACGAAACCTGTGAAAAAAAAAGTGCATCCCAGAAAGCTCCGTGGAATAGATGTCTGACCAAACAACAGATTCGATGGAGCCGAAATGCAACCCTTATCTCGGGGTAAAATCCCACGCACACTGCAGGTGATGACATACAGCCCAACAATGTGCACCGCCTAGCCGGCGGGAGCTTGCATGTGCATTCAAGACAGTCAGCGAGAGCCATTATTAATACGGAAAGGGTCTAGGGTCATTTTGCCATGGCACCTGGTCGGCGGAATCCATATTCCTCTGCGCAGGTGGGGGCAAAGGGCTTGAGGGGACATGGAGCGCCGTCTCGACCGCTCTTTTAGCGTGGTGGCGATCCCGCTCTGAGCCCTCGATTTCGTGCTTTCATCTGAAGCCGTCGGAAGCACGACACGGGGTTAAGACAGACAGATCTTCCCATGACTCAATGATGTAGGCGTTCCAGAGATCTCAGCCAATGAGAAGAGGAACTAGATGCGATCCATCAACAACCGTTGAGCTCGGGGTCGTCTATTTCCGAAGACCAGCTGCTTTATTCCCACTAACGTCATCGCGCGTTCAGTTGAGTTTCCAGCGCAACTGATGTTCACGGGACGATCGAGCATCGCGTCTAGCACGCACCGGTTGTCATTGAGAATCCATCTTAATGAGAGCGGGTTAGATCAGCCGTGAAATAGAACCAGATAGAAAACCCTGAATCGCCTGCAGTTCAAACTAGCAATCCAACAAGATCCACGGGCTGCTGCAACTAGCTGACGCGACCCACAACCCAACCGACCCTGTGGCAGGGTTGAATGCAATGTCTCACAACGCCCGGATACTTTGCAGGCAATTTCTTTCCGTGGTGGGCAGCTCCCAGCAACCACATGATGGAATAATAATTTTCCTCGTGAAGACAATGGCCATAGCCTGTCGGCCTATACACGTGTTTGTTGTCAAGCGGTGTGCCCTTCGATGCGGTGCTACAAAGTAGTAGCATGTATGCATTCGGGGAACGCCCCGGAGCCTCAAGATTGAGTTCTGGACCCCTCAGAGCCGACGCAGGCTTCGGTTAAAAGAAACTTTGCCGACGCGATAGAGTTATCTCGAGCGGTTACAAATTCCATTTTCGGGACTATCTTTCTATCTAAAGCTTGTTGGTGCCGATGACACCTCAGACATAAACTACGGGCGCGCATATGCAAATACCCGTTCAGCAGCCTCAAATTTCAGTCACGGAGTGGAAGTGCGCTGAAAGCATCTAGTGCCCGGTGGAAGGCCGCTCGCCAGCCGCAAGTTCCACCGGAACGACCTGCCTGGACGGGGAGATCCTCATCATTGCTTGGGAACATGCGTTCGGTGAGTGACTCAGTGCGCATGCATGGCATTCGTGCCGAGAACGAGCCGGATCCTTGCATCGATGAAAGCGGGCGTTCATTGAGCCCAGCCGGAGCTAAGGCACCCACGAATTAGGCACTAAACTCCGGCAGGCCGGCCCCGCTTTCGGAGACGCAGCAAATCTCCGGACACCTCCCGTTCCTAACCCGGGCGAATGATCTGGGCATGACGTTCAAGTAGTCTGTTCCTGTGCCGGTACCCAAGGGTCGCTGTCTCTAAGAATTGTGTTAAAAGCAGTGGTAAGCAGCATCTCTTTAAACCCGAGCCCCTCGTGCCAACACTTCTCTCTTCGTTGCCTCTGGGCTCCACGCTGGCAGAGGAACAGGCTCTTCACCAAGGACGTCGGGCCGGAAAAGAACGCCATCATCAGGGCTCTTGAAGACAAAGACAACGTTACGCCCTTGTACTTGATGCCCAAAAAAGTCTTTCGAACGCTCTCCCGTCCACCCGGTAACAACATGCACAACCCTCTTCTCATCCGGGGGCAGTCCCCAGCATGTTGAGCCGAGGGTGACTGATGGCTTCCCGTCTGTGTTCAGAAACAACCCATGTTCAATCTCGATGATTCGGCGCGCAAGGGCGTACACTCCGTCTTTCTCCCACAAGGCCTCCCGGGGCGCTGCAAGGACCTTGAGGTAATGCAATGCCTGAACGCGCGAATCAAGGTATCGACATTTGATAGTCATGAAGAAGATGGGAACTAAGAATCCCATTTCGAACTCAAAGTTGTTGCGGCTCCTGCTCCTGGTGCGTTCATCGGCTGCTTGCCCCGGGCCCTCGATCATTCGTCGGTAATCGTCTTCGTATTTGTCGTAGTCCATCTCGGAAGGGCTGAAAACCATGGCCGTCCAAATACGGCAAAGCCTGTATTTGGATAGCAAATAGGCGCGCTGAACTGCCGTGATAGACATTGATTGACAAGTTGATTTCGCTTCAAGATTGTTGAATACGGTGAACCAGACATTGAGTAGATGCCTTAGTCTTCTTTGCTCTTCCAGAAGATCTGGACCAGGCTGCTCGTGTTGCTGACCGCCAACACGGAAGCTAGCACCACGGCGCACAAGTTGAAACGAGTGATTAAAAATGTTGTCGATAGTTTCTTCCGCTTCTTTAAGCGTTGAGAAGAAGACCGGTGTCTGTCTCAGCATGTCATGCTGAACGGAAGACTCAGATCTGTCGCCGAAAAAGTAGTGCAAGGTCTGTAGCCGGTGGAACTGCGGCCTCAGCCACTCGCAAACCCAGGATGTGCCTTCCGGGTCAAATAAGTCAAGAATAGCGTTTCCGTGTCTGTAATGTCGAAGAGCAGCGTCTCTGTCTAACTGCAACAGCTCAATGCAGATGAGGAGAATACAAATCAACAGAACCAGCCCCTGATCTGTGATATTTATGAGTTCCTTGATCGCCGCATTGTAGTGCGTCAGAGCCAGACTATTAAGACGAAGCTGCTTGGCTCTCGAAGAAGTCCCATTGGTTCTAGCGTTGCTGATATCTTCGTAGAGTGAGCTGATCGCAATGAGGGAGTGCCTGACCGCCGGCTCGCACGTGCTTGATTGAAGCACAAGATGCGTCCAAAAGTACGGTTGTGTTGGCCCCGATAAGTTCGGTCCGACCATCTCAGAGAAGAACTGAATTGCGCGGTTCTCGGCTCGCCTTCTGTTATCTGGAAATATTTGGATAGGCTGGAGCTGGTGCCGCCGGAGCTCGTTCCTCGGCACAGCATACCCGTCACATGGGCGTCCACTGGCAGCGCACCTCAGACAGTCTGGCTTTCTTTCGTCGCATTTTATCTTTCGAAATCTGCGTACGGCTCTTAGCGTATGAAATGGAAAAACTGCCGATACTTACTTGCACGTCAAACACCCAGTCCTTACTTTCTGGCTTCCTTTTCGTGCCATCATGTATTGTTCTTAGCGACCCCAACCGCTGTTGGCACCTGGGCTTGGAATTTGAAGGTACGCACCGCGGCTCTTAACATTCCTGGTGCAAAACAATATTTACAATGGAAGAAAGAGGTGGAAATCACTGCAGCAAACCCTGCTGACTCGTCGCCGAACCCAACACAGCATTGCTTACGACGATCAACGTCATCCAACCCTGCTGCAGCATGACCCCTCAGGCCCCGTCCGTCTGACCTAAAGGGCATAGGAAAAGATTCCGATATGGGGCTTCGGAATCACTATCTCCTGTTGTGTAGCCTGACTGTTACTACCTGATACAAAGCTGCTTGAGGGAAAGATTTTCTCTCCTCGGATTAGTGAAAACGCCAGCAGGCAATTTTTGGGATTAACTTTGGAAATTTGGCATTGTGATAGTGTTGTAGCCATCAACCAACATCAGAAAATCTTGATCAAACGGTAGCGCCAGTTGATACCTGGCAGTATCATGATGGCCAACTAGTATCGTCGTAATATGCCCCACGGCCAATCGCATTAGTTGCACCGCAATGAAATTGACGAAGTCTTCCTCGATTCTTCTTTGGCCATTGCGGAAGAACCCTTCAATTATCACAACCTCTATGAAACCTGGGCCGGGGTCATCTCCAATATTCCTTGCACATCGCCAGGTACAACAAACTCCTCTTCTGATGGCATCAATCCCAATTTGGCCAGCTCTCTATCCGAAATTGTCGGGTTCTCGTCCAAGACTCTCTTCAACTCCCTGGCACGACCAGTGACATCTTCGATCCCCACGATTCCTTCCTTCACCCAAGTCTTGCAAATTCCCACAGGGATTCCGATTTGAATGCTTCGATATGGTAGCTTATCCAGTCGCACCGTGCGTTCTGGATCCCATTGGATCCGAACCTTCTCGCCGTCCTGCGCAACTGCAGCGTGTGATAACCTTCCTTTGCGAAGGAGTCCGATGAAATATTCGCGTGGCATCTTCAAAGCCAGGATGCGTTCTTGGCCAAGGTCTTTGTAAGAGTATCCAGCACGATAGAGCATCCAAGTCCAGCTGGGCTTGATCCAGGTCATTCTGGTGAGCTTGAAGCTTGGCGACGCATCTAGTCGTTGAGCCTCGATAGCAGCCGTTGCAATGGATGAGCTATAGGCCTGGTAGACAGTGATAGTCTCGTCATCATAGTGCGCCCGAATTTGGCGGTAAGGTGCGTAAGTGCGGGGGCCGTTATGACCAGTATTGGAGGTTAAGCTCATGATTTTCCTTCTAGACATATGATAACAAGGGAGATGGTGAGTTGGAAAACTGTCTCTGATTGACGGAAATACTTTGCAAGGTTGATTGAATCTTCATGTAGTCTAGCAACATGGGGCAGTCCGCAGAACTGCCAAGTAAGACCATGCATTCCGGCCAATGAGTCACGCCGGTCATCATTAGCGCCTCTCTTTCACGTAACGGAACGGTGTACTCAGCCGACGGATCATTCAAGGGACTTGAGCGTTATAGAACTTTGAAATTTCATTTTAAATGCTTTTATATGTCTTCTTTCTCCTTCTCCTCACATATTCATCTTACAATATCCATGCTTTGAGGCACTCTTGGACCAACACTCTCGGCTGATGGCATCGAGGCTAGACTACGAGAAGGGTAGCCGTTCTCCTCAGATGGCGACTCGACCTCCACGAAGACGCGAGTTACAGTCTCCATCTGAATGCCCTTGAGTCCCGCTAGATCACGCTTGTGTAGCGACGTCATGCTCTCACTCCGGTCATGACTCCCCGCAGACCCCCGTCTTGGACACCGCGACGGCTTGCGGAATACACCATTCTTCCTTTCGTTCTGTTTCTTCTTAGATCCCGACGTGATCCATACCCTGTGTCCAAATTGTTGACCGAGAGGCGTCAGATTGAATGTTTCGATTCCAAGGTTTTGGTCGTCAGGAGATGTATGGAAGAGGATGGCTCGCCGAGTTGTCGAAAAGAGAATGACATCGAGCCAGCCGTTGGAGGTAATCATGGCTCCAGCGAAGCAAAGATATTCCGGGGAGAGCTTTACACCGCGGGTTCCCATCATGCGGCCAACTGCCAACGGTGTCGTGCAAATGAGAAAAATCAGGGGGTATAGTAAGAAGAGAACTCGTTTGTGCATCTCGGCTTTGACGCCCTTGGACGTTCGAGGGGCAACTCCCGTTGGACTGAGGACGCTGTTGTTGGAACTGCTCTCCTCGCCGGACTTCTTGGACAGCTTGAGTGCCTTTGCCCTTCGGTAAAAGTGCACGAAAACGAGAACCCATGAAACAGTTCCAACAACTTGCAGGATGACCATCCAAAGATAATGAAGGTAGAAACGCATGGGCTCGTATGCAGCACTGATCCAACACTGTTTGTGCACAATTAGCCAGTGGTCACGCTGTTGGGGATACTGAAAGTAACTTACCCAAGCGGTATCACGAACGTAGAAGCCACCCACCCCCTTTCCGTTGTTCGTGATGATAACGCCCAGAACCGATAAGAACAACACGGCAAACCATAAAAAGGAAATAACAGCATAGAAAACTTTTGTCGGAACTTTGCGCCCCAAAATGAGAGTGATGTAGGTATGAACAGCGATGGCCGTCAGGAACGTGAGGGATGACAGATCACCCGTCGAGATGAACCAACCTTGGGCCCAGCATGCCGGCGACTCGTCCGTGATCCGGTCTTCTATGACCCAAACGATATTCAGAAAGAAGGCGCAGGCTTGTAGTACGTCTGCAAACAGGACGTTGATGACAAGAACGAGAGCCTGGTTCGGTGCTTTCCTTCCCTGATCTGCCGTTCCGAAGTACTGCGCGCCAACCTCGCAGGGAAGAGCACCCCTGGTCCCGTTCTCCGCCTCTCTCTGCGGATTCTTCGGATTCGACCTGGCGTACCAGGCAACCAACCTCCCGCTAAGATAGACGAACAGAGCAAACGATGATACAAGCGAGAGGAAGGCGAGGGCAGTAACAGCCCTGAGTCCGTGCTGGAGCACAGTCGGTAGCGGTGCGAGGGTCGGGCTGTGGCTGTACATGGTCGCGCAGCTGATGTGTTGAGTGATATCGGTATTAGATTATCGTGAGGTCGTGCCCGCCGACTCGGTCCATGAGAAATCCTTCCTCCACGCAAGTCCTTATTGTAAAAAGTGTGTTTTAGGTGATCATTCTGCCTCACGATGGAAGTCTTGGACAAAGGAACTGCTTTACTAATAGCCGCGAGCGGCAAACATTTAATAAGCGATGTCCGCTCGATGTCCGCGGGGTAGGATTGGGCATGTCTAACAGGGAGAGCCCAACGGGCGCAGCTAGTCTGTATGGCGGGATGGCGTACGGGATACCGGGAAATCCATGCCAATCATCATCATTCAAGCTCAAAAGTGGCAGGTCGGCAGTGCTAGTGGTTCCTAAGCCTCCCCATGTCCTAGATGCGCCGAACTCAAAAACGGCCCAGAGATGAGGGCATTGAGAGATGCCAAGACGCAGACCCTGCCAAGAATTCACAAAATTCGTGCTTGAGAGCCAGTTCCGCCAGGGATTCGGATCGTTCGGCGTCGGACGACTAGCCGAATCTGTGCAATTAGCCCTCTAGGGGGTCCGATTTCACCTTCGGCATTGTGCCTGCGGACCAGCCTACCCCAGCTGCCGGTGCGCGCGGCGGTGTGTGGGGGCCAGAGGAAACATGAAGATGCAGACGTTTGACACTCTGCCGTTGGTCACTGTGGTTGTTTCGATGCTACATCGCTTCAAAAGACTTTCCAAAATCGGTGGACGAAGGCAGCGGATGGTCCCAAGCGATCCAATGTGATGGGAAAAGGGGGTCTCGAGGGAGAAAAAAGTCCATAGTCCGAGGGGCCACGCGATGAAATAAAGTTTGATTAGTGGAGCGGACCGTTGTAGAAACCTAGTTCGCGAGAACAAGTGGCCTTGGTGGAGAGAACAGCCGATTTACGGCTCTGTTTAGTAGGATTTCGCCGACATTTGAAACGAGCCTCAGAAGAAATGCTGCCCTTTGTTTAGTTAGTCGTCGTATTTTGCGGAGGGCGAACGGACTTTCGGACAATAAGGTTTCCATCATGGAGGGTTTTGCCTGCTGAAAGTTATTGGCATGTTTACTGGAACTCGTGATATCCTTACAAATTGCTCAGATTCCAGAACAATGGTAGAAGGCGGCAAGGATCGTCACGTCATTGTCACTGAACTTGGTGGAGTGCGGTTACTTCTTGTCTCCGCGTGGGGGAAGTTTTCTCCCGCTTGAAAAGGAACAAAACAGCACCCCCACGAGTCAGCCACCATCGCCTTATGTAAAGAATCGGGCAGAACGACTCCCATTGTCTGCGGCAACCACATGGCAAGCAGGGGTTATCCAGTTATCATCGAACCGACGTTCATCTCATGAATTTTGCGATTTAGCCGCCAGACTTTTACAATCTCACGCAATACGTCGTATATCTCATTAACTTTCAGATAGGGCTACTAGTTTCTTCTTCTTGGCGGCGTGAATTGACTGAAACTTGACTATCTACAAACTCTGTGGCCGGCATGTGGGCGCCTGACAGAGAAAGGGCGACTCAAAAAGTAGCAGTCGATGTGCCCTGCGAAGCTGGGAAAATTACCTGCATCAACCCGAAAGCGATATCAGACATTCAAAGCCTGAAAGAAGGCTAGTTAGCTTTCAGCGCGGCGAAGTCGAGCCCAAGGGATGCGGAAAGCGATCCTTTCGAGAGGGCTGTGAGTGGCAAGGTTTCCACAGGCAACCCTGGCCGGTCACGAGGGTACGATTAACGGCTATCTCCGTGCGTGTGAGATGACAACCCTGGAGAGAATTGCAAGAACAAAAGTTTTGAGTTTCAAAGCGCCTATTTCCATCGTCAGCACCTTATGCTTCTGTACTGGTCTGAGATTGGCGAGATGGTGAAAGTCATGTAGCGAGATTGACAAATTGCGGGCACAGACGCCGGCGCCGGCGCAGAAGCTCCTTGATGAGGGATAACAGCACATTTGCGTGCATACGTGTTCCGCCATGCGTATGCAGTTCATAAAGACAGGAGTTGGGTGGCAACAAGTCGAATCTCAATCAAATAGAGTTTCCGTTCGAAGTCCGCCGGACGTGGGAGTCGGTGGGACTCACCAGCCCCCTGGTTGACATTGGCTAAGCTTCATGAGAGGGGGCTGTCAGCCAGCGTCCGACCCGGCCTCGGAGCCGCCTCCGACAATTCATTCGGTCGCTGCGGGAGGAGTGTTCGCATGCAATCGATTTACGAGTAAGATTTCATATCTCCTACAAGTTTAATTCACACCTCAATGGTATCCAACGTAGAGCATCCATATTATGACTAATATTCAATTTTTTTAATTGCAGCAGCTATTATCGGGCTTCCGAGATATATCTGATGAATTTGCTTCGCGAAAACAATCGCTTCGATTTGAGGTGGAAGATATTTACTGGAGTCCCCAGCCCATGGTCGGAGGCTTCAGCTGGATCCTTTTGTGGATATCAATTTTCCGAAAACGATTCAACCATATTTGCTGCTAAAATCTGCAATCACATTCAATCCGGAAAAAGATCACCGTCAGGTGCAGTTGCATAATCTTTTAACATCCATAGCACGTGGTGAACCACGCCGGGAAAACTATCGGGCATGATAAATCGCGGAGTCCGCAAGACAATCCGAGACCCATGACAAACGTAATTGAACCAACTGAAAGAAGAACCTAGCCACGGGGAGAGCTATCACGTGGATTTCTGTATGGAGATCGCAAAACCAGGGCAAATTGTTCTATGTAGTCCACAAAACAGCGACGGGCATCTGTGGGACATCTTGGCCTTGTTTGCCTGTTGAACGGAGAGTGATTCCGTGCGCAGTTTGTTGAAAGCCAAGTTGCATGAGTGGAATCGGCCCATTGTGTTACAGGCCTGGAGTTGAAAACGCCCAATACCTATATGGTATGTACCACACGCAAGAAAGGGAGGCATCAGACATGTCCTGGACGGATGCAGGGTATCACCAACTGCAACAGGGCCAGGAAACGGCAGGCTGAAAGTGTCCACAAACCCCGGAACAGAAAACGTTCGTCCTGTGCGAGTCTTGGAGTTTTCTCATCCGAGGACAACAGCTGTTGCACGGGGCAATCTCGCAGCATGGCGATGGCGTCTCCCTCAAGGCCCTCTCCTCTGTCTCCCGCCTCCTTCTCCCTTTGGAAAATGGGAAGCACCAGAAAACTCTGGTAACAAACAGTCAGACTGAGAGAAACGCAAGATTCCCTGATGGCGCCTCAACGTATAAAAGTATTCTGTTTCATCGCCATACTTTAACTGAATGAATCATCACCTTCATCACACAATTCGAATATCTAGTGGTCATTGAAGCCATCCTTCTTTAGTCTCTCAGTCACAACCACGATCTCTGGGTTTTCCTCCGGTAATTCACTCGTTCAAACTTGGCGTTTCTACACCACCTTCGCCCTTCAACTCAGTACAATGAAGTTCTCTACCATTCTTACTACCGGCGCCGTTGCCATCTCCAGTCTGATTGGCAGCGCCTCAGCCGAAGCCGGATGCTCAATGTCTCAAAATGCGGCAACGAGGTTCTGGGAGATCAAGATGAGCGATGTCGATGACCCTCCGGCTGTGTGCCACCTGCTGTGGGAGAATCTGAAGCGCTGGCCTGGTTGCACCGTCCAGAAGCCAAACGGCTGCGGCGCACCATTCGGAGGAAACGAGGTTTATATGTACTTCGCCACGACGATAGTCTGCTCCAGTGGCATGATCAAGTCTTCATACTGGCATGCTACGCACAACAGATACGGCGCCATCAACAGCTGTTGAAACGGCGAACAACATACACAGGCGGCATCATTCGAGACAAAGGGGGGCACATTAGGATTTTGAGACCGGATCTTCATCACATTTGTTGACAAGGCAGCAAATGTGCAAAAGCTATCAGTGACGAGGGTGGATATACATGGGATTGGAAACACAATTTGCATTCTCCTTGATTAATGTTGGGTAAATAAAGGGCTTCCATGGCCGTTTTAGTATCATGTCTTGAACCTTTGTGCACATACTTTTTCTCTGACAATTTGATTGAATCGTATGCTTGCGCCTCTTGATGCTTCGAAGATCCTCACATCCATCCCTGAGCAATGATGTATCGCTGAGTGCCTCAAACTCGACTTCCGCAAATCCTAATTGGGCAGGAAACATCCAAACCTACAACGTGAGTAAGAAGTCCACCGACAAATTTAGGTCTGATGCTCGGGCCATTGCGCGAAATCTGAACTCAAGTCCCCTAGACTATACCATCCACAGACATCCTCCATGGACCCAAGAGAAGCGAATATACCATTCTCATTGCTCGAGCCGCTGTGTCCGAAACCTGTAGTAGCCGTCTCGCCTGATTGACTAGTCGCATCGTTCGAAGTCTGCGTGCCATCGCTACTCGTAGTCTTCCTTTTCAAACCGAGAACATGGCGGGCAATTGTCTGTATCTCCGACACGTTCTTAGCGGTCCTTGGCCAAAATTCACCCAGAGCTTTCAGGCATCCAATCGTCAGCCGAATTTGGTCTCTCGCGATTGCTAGCTGCTTGCCCTGCAATAAGAAGTTGCAAGCTGAAAGGAGCGCAAGTGTACCCTCGCTGACCATGCAGGTCGTGAAAGGGGTGTGATGGAATGGTCTAGATGGCAAAGCCAGCAGACGGATTTGCGACTCGACTGCTCGCAGTACCCTTACTGTGTGTACGTTAATCAAGTCTGACGATGGGTTATCGACAGGTGGTTCTCTGGCACAGCTTGACACGTCCTCCACAGGGTTGAACCTCAGGTCAGATAGAGGCCTATGGAGGCCAATACTCGCTCTACATCTGATGTTAGTGGACCATCGCGATCAAGGCGTAGAAGAGTATCTTACACTCCAACGAGAAGATGTGCCTGAAACATGAGCTCATCAATCTGTCCTGTTTTCGACATGATATTCCTACGCTCTTTCGGAAGGAGTAAAGACCACGCATCGATGATTGAGTCGGCTGAATGAAGTACTTGTGCAGAGTCTTCCTTTGATGCGACCTTGGGTACGGTAGATATCGCCAACGCCGCACAACGCACAGCGCTGATGAGGTACGCGAAGGATGAGAAAGTAACACTGTCAGGAGCGAACTCTCTGGAGTCGAAGTCTTCCAAAGTCTTTGGTAGAGGGATGGCCTAATTCAAGTTAGCTCTCTGCCGCAGACGCTTTTATGGGTGACCGCATTTGCTGACCTCTGACTCATATTCGCTCTCCTCACAAGGAAGCTCGACTGTCGCCTCGATGTTCCCGACTCTAAAGTTCATGGTTCCCAAGGTCCCAGCATAGTATGCATCGATAATAAAAAGCATCCACCAAGTCCGTCTCCACGACTCCTCAAGAACTGGTTCGCCGGCATTATACTGCCCTGAGAAGTCAGATTTGTGCATCCCAAGACGTGCCGCAACCTCTGTGGCGCAGTCCATATGATGTTTCGCTTCATCTTTGAAGTTACTCCAAAACAAGGCAATGGAATAAAGCAAAAGATACTGAACCAGTACTGGACTATCTGGGGATAATTGCAGTAAGCCTTCTTCCGCCTGGTCCTTGAGTGAGACAGACCATTCTTGCATGAGATAGATGTTGCCGATTAGGCGCATCACTGGTATTAGTGGGCCGAAGTTGAGCATTGGGGGAGGGTCCTTGACAAGGCGAAGGAAGGCGGCTCGTGGTAGCAGAAATGGATGCAGGTTGTGAAAGCTCTTGTAGTAAGACTTGATCAAAGGGTCCGTTTCAATGTCTCCAGCATGGCTATGAGGCGATGATCTTGAAATCGACTGCGCTGACTCATTTCCGAGAGTTGCCCCGTCAAGTAAATTGAAGTCGTCCAACAATTCCCAGCCTTGTACTTGGGTTGGGACATCTCCCGATTGATGTTGGCCAAGTTGCTCTGAGCGAGGTGTCGAGGTTCCATTCGAATCAGACTCAGGGACTTCGGCGGCAAGCCTTTTGCGTCTCTCCGCCAAGGCCGCCCGGTCTAACCCTCCTCTTCGCGATGGGGCAAAGTCGCATTGCTTCTCGAACTCAATACATCTGCTGCATTGGGGCCGCTTGCCGTCGCACTTCAAGTGCTTTGATCGACACGGCAAACATGCGAGAGAGGATCGCGTCCCTCCCCTCGTCTGGCGCATCGGAGTGTTGGTCGATTCCATGGCATGCTTCGTGGAAGGGCCCTTGTCGAACTCTGGCAATTGGTAGGTCCGGCGCAAAAGATCAGCGGGGACGCGGGTATCCGGGTATCCGGGTACTAGATCCGGCATAGCGGCGCGGGTATTCGACGAGAGCCCGTGATGATGACAAAGACACCCGAGTTGCCGCTTATTGCATAGCACTTTGTGTGGTACAGCCATGTTCAAGAGAACTAGCGGGTGAAACACTCGAAATTGTTAATGACTTTTGCTTTTGAAATTTCAAGACCCTCTAGGATGTCCGGATACCTCGAGCCGTTATAAAAGTCGAACTCTCGAAATGTAATAGCGTCAGCTGTTCGTAGCTAACTGGCTTCATCTTCTGTCCAACACATATTTACTACTAAGTACCTTACTCAAACCTCTTTATCATGTCGACCTCAGTTGTGATCATTGGAGCTGGATTTGCAGGTGTGTGGAGTGCCCTCTCAGCAACTCGTCTCATCAACCTCAGAAATAAGACCGACGAAGTCAAAGTTGTTGTCATTGCGCCGGAGCCGACATTGGTGATCAGGCCAAGACTTTATGAGAGAAATGCGGCCAGCATGTCTCATCCATTGACGACACTGTTCCAGTCTGCTGGTATCGACTTTGTCCAGGGCACTGCGGAATCGATTGATGGCATCCGACAAAGTGTCCAGGTTCATGCGCCGACAGGGAAAGATATCACAGTCAAATACAGCCAACTCATCATCGCGACTGGAAGTCTCCTCAATAAACCTCGAAGTGTTACCGGACTCGAACAGCATGCATTCGATATCGACACGCTAGATGCTGCTGCCAGATTGGAGCGTCATCTCGAAAGCCTCGCATCATACCAACTGAGCGCAGCCCGCGACACCATTGTCATCTGCGGGGCCGGCTTCACGGGCATTGAGCTCGCAACGGAGCTTCCGAAGCGTCTTGGCCATATTGAAAAGCCACGTATCGTTCTGATGGATAGTGCCAAAGAAGTTGGCCCGGAACTCGGACCCGGACCTCGTCCAGTCATCCTAAAAGCCCTGGAAGAGCTACATGTTGAGATCAAACTTGGATCTGCAGTCTCAGCAGTTGACGAGGAGGGAGTAACCCTTGCCTCCGGCGAGCGCATCGCGACAAAGACAGCGGTCTGGACTGCCGGAGTGAGAGAATCCCCTCTTGCGCAGCAGATAGCGGGACCCAAAGACTCTCTTGGTCGCTTGCATGTCGACATGTATCTTCAGACCTCGACGAACAAGGATATCTTTGCGACAGGCGACGCTGCCTATGCCATTGCAGATCCGAGCGGTCACCATGCGCTCATGTCCTGTCAGCATGCACTCCAACTTGGTCGCGTGTCTGGGCATAACGCCGCCGCAGCGCTACTTGGAGAACCTATGATGGAGTATTCGCAGGCTGCATACAATTGCTGTCTAGACCTGGGTTCATGGGGAGCAGTCCTTGGCGAGGGATGGGAAAGAAAGGTCAAATTTCATGGAGACCTTGCGAAGCGGGTCAAGATGTACATAAACCAGACACTGATCTATCCTCCCGTGGACGCGAAAGAGGCGCTCGCTGTGGCCAGTCCTCTGGGCCAAGATTCGGATGAGTTGTTCAAGACCATGCTGGAGATTGTTTCCTGAGGGGGGGGCGGGTAGAGATGGATGGCATGGAGAAATGGAAATAGTCAGTGACGAGAATGACATTTTCACAGTGTAATGAATTTGAAAGCACAGAGTTCAAAGTATTCGCTGGTTTAGGTTTCTCGGCGTCGCGAAAGTAGCGCTTGAGCTTGAGATTCAGGGATGGTGAGTATGTTCGCTAGACTTGTACCCATAACCACCACCTCGTGGAATTGTTCCAACTATCTTCCATGTCAGCGCCAAGAGTACGTTCCAAATAAGTAGCCAAGCACTGTGACACCTTGAGAGATATTTTACTTCTCCAGATGAGTGTTATGACGTCAAGAGGGACCGTCAAGTCCAACGAAACGGTCTCCATTGCTCGCCGGGATTGCCTCAGCCGACAGTGACATGCGCCCCAATGATTCAGTGCTGGGTACCTGCCCCGCCCCCACCAAGAATCCCCTCTCGGACGACAGCACACCGACGCGGAGCGGAGCGGCCGATGCCACGTCTCAACCCAGCTCACTCATTAAAGCGAGGAACTTTCATGATTTGACAAATATTGTAGGGCCTTTCCTGTCACAGTAACTCAACCCAAGTCATATCACAACCAATGCCAACATGTCTATGTCCAACGATGACTGCCAGAAGACCCGCGAGGGCTTCCCCAGGCCATTCCCCAACACACCCTCAAACGTTCTGGAGCAGCTCAAAGTCACTGGCAAGGTAATTGTCGTCACAGGCGCCGCGGATGGTATTGGATATGCCGTCTCCGAGGCGATGGCTGAAGCCGGAGGCAATGTTGCGTTGTGGTACAACTCGTAAGTTTTCTGGCCAGTTGATCAACCGGAATTACGGTGTTAACATTTCGGTAGAAATGACGCAGCGATTCAGAAGTCGAAAGACCTGGCGAGCACGCATAATGTGAAGACATCAGCATACAAGGTCGACGGTAAGCAGACCTGACAAAACTAGAACTAGAGTCCCCGTTACTAACTATACCTGTCAGTTTCGGATTCCAACCAGGTCCAAGAGACTATCGCCAAGGTTCTGCAAGACTTCGGCAAGATTGATGTTTTCATCGCCAACGCTGGTAAGTTGACAATCAACACAGTAATATTAGTGTTGGAACAAACACTGACACCGTGTCAGGGATGGCCATCTCAAAGCCTATCCTCGAACAGACTCTCGACGAGTACAGGAAACAGATGTCTGTCAACGGTAGGTTGCTGCAGATCTCTAAATAGGGTTTTCCGGTGAGAGTATCGCTAACATATTATAGTTGACGGAATCGTGTACTGCTCAAAGTATGCCGGTGAAGTCTTCCACCGCCAGGGCTTCGGCAACCTCATCATCACATCCAGCATGAGCGGCCACATCGTCAACGTGCCCGTCGACCAGCCCGTGTACAACGCCACCAAAGCGTACGTGACGCATTTCGGAAAGTCTCTTGCCCGCGAATGGCGCGAGTTTGCGAGGGTCAACATTGTCTCCCCGGGTTTCTTCGACACTAAGATGGGCGCTGGTCCGTTGGCGTTGCAAGAGGCGTACCGCATGGCGGCGTTGGGCAGACAGGGTCACACCAAGGAGATCAAGGGCCTGTACCTGTACCTGGCTAGCGATGCGTCCACGTACATGACAGGTAGCGATGTTATCATTGACGGAGGTTACGTCTTGCCTTAAGAAAGCTGCATGGGAACAGGTGTAAATAGACTTGGAAAGGGAATATTCAATAGAAGTTAGAATTAAGAAGCGAGGATGTGCCAGTGGCGAGTTGTTGATGATAATATCTGACATTTCGGCCGCTGTAATTTTCAGGCTTTTCTTCTCCAACGCCATTCGACTAGCAATAAAACATCAAGATTAAGAAATATGGCTACAATGAATCTGCTCCGCAATTTGCTTCATATGGCGTTTGCGGTTGATTCTATGTAGTCCAGTCACCTAGTAGGAGGTCTAGCGGCATATTGTCCATGAAGTCAAGCGATGCCTCGCTCAACAACATCCGAAGACTCGGGTCAGCCGTCTCATCACCGAACACAGGTTGACTTTCACCGTAAAACGCAAAGTCGTTCTCGCTCGGCAAATCCATAAAATCGTGAGCTGGCGGCATGATACTGCTCTCCGGGTAAGCTGTCGTGATATCTTGGCCCAGGTTAGAAACCTGGAAGGAAGCTGGATCCAGCTCCAAATCAAGCTGCGGTAGAAACTGAAATTGGCTGTGGATGCGATCCAGCATCTCCAAGCAGCGCTTCGCTGATCTGCTCCTCTGCTCCAGCGTTTTGAGACAAGCGCGCGCCTTCGACACGGAATGCTGCCATGCGAGCCTGTCCTCGTCGGGCCGACTAGTTTCGGTGAGATAGTTGGCTTCCAGGACCAACGTGGCCTGGAATAAGAAGTACGTCGCGTACCAGATGAGGCCCTGGTGTATACAGGCTTCGTTGGCCATGCAGAAGGTGGCGATGTCGTGGATACTTTGCATGGCAACTTCAAGGCACTTTTCTTCTGCGTTGGTCTTGGTCGGAAGATAGCTGTGGTATTTTTGGCTGCCGCGCCAGAGAAGAATGCGGAGATTCTGTTCTTTCCAGAGAACAACAGATCGTGGTGCCCTGAACCAATTCGGGCAGTCCGTTGTGAGGAAGTACCCGGGTAGGTTTTGTCGCCACCGATTGAGGTCCCGTTCCATGTTCTCTGCCACACGGTACTCGACCTTCGTACTTGCGGTCTTTGCTAGGAGGAACTCGTGGTAGACAGCATCGGCAATCTTTGCCAGTTGAGCTTGGCATATTACCGCTGAGTATGTGGTCGGGTAGTTGACTGGGGATGGTACGGGTGCCTTGAAAGACAGCTCCTATTAAGTGTAACCATGAGCATTTTGGGTAATACTTGAAGCAATGTCACCAACTCTTACCTTGTCATCAACGTTGCGTGGAATTCGAGTGTCAATGAAGTCATCTGACATCGTCGGCGGCCGTCCTGTTGTAATGTTGAAGCCGCTCTCGAAGCAGTATACTGTCCAAAACAGCTGCCTCCGGCGCTCATGGCCGAGGGTGTCTTCGGGTCCTGGAGGTTCACGATGCAGGCCCAGCCCTAACGCCATTCGATACGCCAATCCAATGAAGTTGTAGCCCGTGTTGGTCCGGTCTCTCTTCTGGAGGTAGTTTCCCATTAGGAGAAATGCCTGCACCGTCTCAATCGTGCCTGACTCTAGCATCTGGAGCGACAAGTTTGATCTCGCTGCACTGTAATGTCCGGATTGCAGATGTTCCGTTTCGGTACTTGATAACCAGTGTCCGATGGCTAGCACCATGTGATAGACGACGCGCCATGGTGATTGAATGAGGCGCTGCCGGTGTCCCGCATTCACCCGTTCTCGGAAGGTCTTCTCATGCAATATGGGGTAGCAGTTATTGTAGAGAAGGAAGTAGGCGTCAATTAAGCGGCTTGCGACGTATGATACTGGTAGATCTAAAGGTTCTGGAGGTGGGA